CAATACTGTAATGACACCCTATTTCAGTATAATAACTGACTTGTGTATCTATTTTACAGGTATGATTTCATTGCTAGATGTGGCTTCAAAATGGTTGCGAGATTCACCTGATAATGATTACGGTACAGTAATACAATAATCTTTTTTTTAGATTGAAATATATAGCAGTAATACGTTTACATATACTGTATGATAGCATTTATTTCAACAATTATTTTGGTTAATTTTTAACATTTTTAAATATTTACAGATATGAAGAGAAGAGTTGACTGAAGGATACAAGAAACAAATGTCTTAAACAACATTCCACCACAATGAAAAATATATTTTATATTATATAATGATAAAAAATGAAGTCATCGCTCTGTGACGCCATCTACTGTGAACCCATCTGCTGAAGCCAAGATGTTTGTCAGATTTATTTTAACGTAATCAAAGTATTAGAAACGTGTCAATAATGTCAAAATATAAAGACAATATCTTTAATACAGTAATTCAAATACATAATTGATTGATGAATTAGATAGGCCTATGGTATATTTATTAATAAATTTATGCTGTATGCCGGCAAAGAATGGTAAATAGACGAGAAGCCTGGAGGAATTAGATAGGCCTATGGTATATGTATTAATAAATTTATGCTGTATGCTGGCAAAGAATGGTACAGAGACGAGAAGACTGGAGGTAAGTGGGTTGGTTATTTACTCAAAGATCTTGTAACAAAATAGCGCTCTCACCTATTTCTAAGCGTAATGCATTAAAGACTCGTAAAACTGCACCTTCTGCAAAAAATAAGACAAAGCAAAACTTATTTACTGTACTGAATTTTATATATGGCGCTCCCTCCAAAAATGTATTAGTACTCGTAATGCACAGAAAATTTTCATGAACTTAGAAAAAAAATTACAAAGCCAAATTTGTTTTACTGAATTTTATACAGTGCTCCCTCCAAAGTAAAATGCGAAGCCAAATTTTATATAGAGCTCATTACAAAAGCCTTATTTGCACACTGCACTAAAAACTTTCAACAATCTGGGAAAAAAATGGTGTAACTAAGCCCTTCTTTAACTGCCGACTGAAACTGCCCTGTGCAAAGAATAGTATGCAAGCCAATTTTGTTTACTAAATTAAGATATGGTTCCTCCAATAATCTGTTAAGTGCACTGAAAATTTCATAACTGGCAGAAAATTGTTTACTCTGTTTTATCTAGCACTCCTCCAAAACTTATTTGCATGCATAATGACCTGCGCGTTGCAAAAATACTGTTGCGAGTTGCAAGATCTTTGAGCTACACTGCATTAGGTGCCCCCTAAATTAAATGAGGGCGCTGTTGACGTAAAGTGCGCCCTCTATGGAGGTAGAGGACACTTTGATGCAAGCAGTCCCTCGTTTGATTTAGGGGGCGCTATTTAATGCAGTAACCCTCTGAAAAAGATAGGGATGTTATATAAACGATGATACAAGGAACAAATAAAGACGAGAGAATTTGAATCAATTTTGTGTCGTATTTATTTGACTAGCAAACTCTCTAAAAAAAAAAAAAAATGCACTTCTCCGCAACCCCTGCAGCCCCCACCAACAGGTTCACCTGACTCAACTACACAGCAAGTACTACCTCAAGTCATGCCCACTGCCAAGCAGCAAGAGTGCCCGAAGAAACCTGCGAAGTTCTGAATACAAGCTACAAGTCAAATGTAAATTACAAGATGAGTAAAATACCTGTGAGAACCCTATACCCAAGATGGACGACAACCCACGCAAGATCGCCAACCCTCTTCCCAATCTTTGCCAAGGATAGGAATTATATTTTTAATAATTAAATGATTAATGTCAAAGAATTTTCAAATACGAATAATTTTGAAATTAGATTAAATTTAGCATTATTAATGTTGCTAAATAATTATTTAAATGAACTAACATGTTATTTTATTAAATTAAATTATTTATTTGTTTAGATTGAATTTAGAATTGGCTGCTTAAGAATTAATTTTTTAGAATTATTTTAATGCAATTTTAAAATTAAATTAAAGAATTTAAGTTGGATTTTTTTTTTGTTTAAAAAAGCTTTAAATAACTAGTTTGTTTTGCATATATTTTAATTATTTTAACGCTAGTATTAAATAAAATTAATTTAAAATTTAAAGTTATATTTTATTAAAAGATTTAAATAATTTGGAAACAAATTTAGAGTATATTTATGTATTTTATTTATATATCAGAAAGTATGGGACTTAAACTGGCATCAGGATATAAATTTACAAGTGCTTTTGGTTGCCTAGATTACACTCAGGAAACAACATTAACTGTGCAGTACAGAACTAAATTTGGTTGCAAAGAATTTGATGTGGTTGGCACCTCTGGTAATACTAAACCTAAGCATCGTGTTCTGAACAGCAGCTCTTCAGCCATACCCTGCCTGAATCGATCGCTCTTTATATCACTGTTGGCACCAAATATTGCTAATTATAGGAGAAGTCATTTTTATCTATTAATTATTTAGTAAATAAATTAGTGTCAAGTATAATTGTATCTAAAATCATCCTATTAAAATCTATTAAAATCATTCTATTTTCAAATTACTGTATAATGTTTAAAATCTAGTTACAAAATTTTAAAAAATCATTAATTGCTTTTCTGTAATGTTTGTATTTATCATTACTTTATCTTCAAATCGTAAGACAAACCTTTAAAATGACTTAGTTGGGGTAGGATTTTTTGTTTATTAAGGTCTATATTTATATTGATTAAATGCTGTGCATGTATGATGTACTTTACCAAAGCAGAACTTTTAAAAGGATGTAAATATTTAAATTTTTAATTACCATATTTATTTGAATAAACACCCCCTCCAGAGCCTCATTTGGAATCATAAGCACCTCCCTCAAATTTTTCTAACCTGGTTGGGATTGATAAGTCTTTAAGATCACGCAACAACACATTTTGACTGTACTTTTGTGTTGTTATTCCACATTTACAGGGAAATTAAGAGGCGTTTATTCAAATAAATATTAGTATATAATTTTTTAAGAAAGTATTTTTACTATAATATTAGATTTTTTCATTATGTTTTACTTTTTAGTGTACATGTTAATAGTATACTACAGTATTATTATTTTTATTAACATTTCCATTTCAATAGTTATGTTTTCAATTTATGTTTATGATTCCTTAAAATCATGATTATTTTAGTACTTACATATCTTGAATATTTAATATTTTGAAAACTGTTTAAATGAAGAACTTTTAATCCGTAAGTTTACACATTGTTTTATATTACATGGGGTAGATTACATAAAACTGGTTTTGTTTTCCATTTATCTGTATTCCAAGTGCATTATAAGCAAATGTCATATGCACTATAAAGCAACTTGACCATTAACTGTTGCAATTACAATTATTATGTTAAATGTAATTTAATTTAATCATTTTAATTAAATTTATTTACTTTCAGCATTTAGTTATTTTTCTAATATAACTAATATTCTATATTTAATTGTGCCCATATTTTTAAGTATTAATTCTTAAAAGAAATTTGTGTATTTCAGTATTTTTCAAATTATTTTATTCAATAGTGGGAATATATATTAGACATAAGTGTTAATAAGTATTACCAATTTATTATACAGTATGTTGTTAGTCAATTTATCAATTTATTATAATTTGTGAACATATTACATCATCATGCCCTTATATGGGTAGATTACATAAAACTGTTTTGTTTTCTATTTTTCTATTTATTTGTATTCCAAGTGCATTATAAGTAATGTCATATTCTCTATAAATATTACTTCTTAAAAGAAATTTGTGTATTTCTGCAGTAGCTTTTAAATTTTTTTATTCAATAGTGGGAATATGTATTAGATATAATTGTTAATAAGTATTATCAAGTTACTATAATTTGGAATTTAATTTACTTTTAATGATTTGCTTTGGTAGAGCACATCACACAAACACAAAAGACTGTATAATATTGATTATTGATGGGTGATGTTGAAAATGTATAACTAATGTAATAGAAAATTTGGTTATTATTTGTATTTTTTTTCTTTTTATTTATTTGATAAAAAAATAACAATTAAAGACTTCTCCTTAATTATGTTTAAAACTATTTCCAATATATACCCTATCTAAAGAGTAACAACCTAACTTTACTTCTAAAATGTTATTGTCGAAATATTAAATTTAGTTGTGTGTGCTTCGTTTTGTGATATGATTTGCATTAATTAAAATATAAAGTTAAATTTATTTTAAATTACATTTTTTAATAAAATGTTTTAAATTTTATTATACATTTATTTTGTGTTCTATTTGAACTTGTTTAAGATTACAGACACATTTAAAGTTAGCACACATAGAAGTTAATTCTAAGTTGATTGGTTTAATTATTATTATTATTAGGTAGTCAATAATAAGCAGTTTTCGCCGCACGACCTTAACCTTAACGTTAGTACCCAACATGCAGCGCGATAGCTCCGCCCCTTTTGTAAACATGCGCAAACCCGTAACTAACGTGTCGAGCACTTAAAATCCTGAAATTAACGTACTCCGCAACGCAAGATGAATAAATTATGACGTCATCCCTTAAGGTTAACATCGTGCGGCGAAAACTGCTTATTATGTTAAATCAAAAATAATTATATAATTTTCAATCAATTAGAAATACTGAATTAAACTATATGTGTGCTGTATTTACAGATATATTTTATTATGCAAATAGAAATTGATTAATTTAAAATATAATTCTGTATTTATATTAAAAGCAACAGCCTATAAAATTAATAGTACCTAAAGGGTTGATATTTTAAATAATTTTTACATTTCAATATCTAAAAGTATGTAGTATTTATGTTCTGTAATCTTTTTAAACAATATTATTTCTAAACTTACACAATACATAGTGATTAATATTTGTTTAAAGTTAATTTTGAAATATTTTCCTAAAAACCCTAAGTGCGCCAAATAATTTTTGAATAATATTATCATTATTTGTATTATATTCCAAAGCCCATGACTAGATAAATATTTATTAATAATAAATTATTTCTATTTTTTAAGTTATATTTTTTTAATGATTTTATGCTTTTATTAAGTTAAATTAAAGTTAAAATTTTAAAAGTTATTTTATGATTTTCAATCAATCCAAAATACTATATTTAACAATGTGTGTGTTCTGTTTAATTTAGATATATTTTAATATGCAAATATAAATTTAATTTTAATTGATTAATCTAATATATAACTTTGTAATTATCTTTGATTATTATCATTATTATTATATTCCAAGGCATATTACTAGATAAATGTTTGTTAATAATACATTTATTCTTTCTGTTAAATTAACAGTATTATGTTCTAAAACTTTTAATAGTTTGAAACAAAAAAAATTAAAACAATTGATACAGATTTAATATTCATTGCATATTTTAATTTGTGAACAATTTAAAATTTTTTATTAGGTGACACATTAGGTGATGAAATGTTTATGAGAGTTGTATTTATTGCAGCAAGTCAATATGTAATTCAGTATTGAACAATTATTACTTGTTACTCTTTGTATTTAGCAGATTTACCTAGGCACATTCCATAAATATAAACTGTCCGTAGTGGCCAAAAGCTGTCTCTTATACACATCTAGATGTGTATAAGAGACAGCATCTAGCATGCACAATATCAAATTGAAACTATAATTATTTTTTTATTATTGTTACTAATTGCATTTAGTGGATTTATCTACCCTTTTTATGCTAGAAATCAGCCTTTTAATTATGTATAATTACATCTATACAATTTATTATACTACTATTTATGAAGGCATCTAGCATATGCATATCAAATTACTATTACTATTATCATCATTATTATTGTTACTAATATTTATATTATTATTCAATAATTTGGTGCCAACTCAAAAAAGCTACAATTCAGATACACATCGTGACAACAGAAGTACAACCTTGGCCCAGCTGGCATACTTTCCTAAACTTAGCGAAAAATATTAGCAGATAATGCCTAACCGCCAAAAGGAAAACAATATTCTTCTGTATACACTTAAAATGTCTCCTGAGAAAAATACCATGTTATTTTATTGAAAAAAGACCACAAACTGAAACCAGCTATAATTTTTAGTTAACTCCTTGGCATTGACGAGGTCGAACGTTTACACTGATGATGGTCTACCCACACAAGCTGACACCACGTCGGGAAAAGGATTCTCACAGACATTTTACCCACAAAGCAATTTACAAAGGAAATGTTAACTCGTAAAAAGAACTTTACAGAATTTCAACAAAGCAAACTCACCACTCAGCAGCAGCAACGAGCACAACAAGAAGTAAGTACTGCCACGCAGCCAAGCAGGATCAGACCATCGGTGTAATGGAGCATGCAGGAGGTTGCAGAGAAGTGCATTGTACAATGTTTTAACTAATCGAGAGAATACTGAAAACAAAAACCATAGCATGCATCAAACTACAAATTATTATAACAATTGG